GTCTTCGGTCCGGAACAGCGAACACACTTCCTGACCCCGCGTGCCTGCGGTGTCCGCTCCTCGTGATTTCAATTAGTCAGCCGAAACGCCCCAAAATAGGCCCGCTGGGGACTTAGAGGGGGTTTAATCCTCTCCGGCTGTGTGTCTATCAATTAGCCACACCATTAATCCCCACGGCGTAATCTCATTAGATAGAGCGCCTTTAATGAGACGCCCGGAGAGGAAGAGAAGGAAGACGGGGAGAGAGAGAGAGAGAGAGAGAGGAGGAGGAAAATGAGGCTGTGTGGCGTGATGCAGGTGTAGGCCGTGTGGAGAGGTGATTAGTGGGACGGGGGAGAGGGGTCAGCAGAGGGAAGGAGAACGGAGCGCAGCAGGAGCAATGCATAACATTTAGAAAAAAGCTCACATGGAGGGAGAGGTGGTTTCTCTGGGTGGAAAAAATTAGAAACTTGGGCGATGAAAAGAGTAAAAAAATAAAAAAAAAAACAGGTGTGAGCAGGAGTCAATGAAACAGAAGAAGAAGAAAAAGAAATTCCAGAGTTCTTAATGAGAGGCGATTTAATTCCCAGAGTGTCCGGGTAACGACTAATAAACCTGGCTTAACCTTTATGGTTGTAAAATTATGAACTCTTCCGCAGGACCGTGGACCTGTGTTAATAGGAGAGCCATCAGCGGAGGTGGGAAGGTCTGAAATTATAATCACACCGGGAAGAAGTCATCTCAGTCGCAAGCTGTCAGCAGAAAAGAATATTAAGTTCAAGGACGGGCTCTTTGATGGGCTTAGGTGAAATTTCTCTTTCCTCGTGGCGGAGGAGAGGAAGCTCCGGTTACCCCTCGTAACCCCCCTGCTTCTTGAGAAAGGAGCATTGCTGCTTATGGCAAGCCGTTTTAACATAAATTCGGTTCCGTCTGACTATCCGTAATTACGTTCCAGATATCTGAAAATGTATTTTGACTAGACAAAACTACATTTTGACTATCCGGAATGGTAATTTAAGATATCTGCATTTACATTCTGACTAGTAAGAATAATAATTAAAGATATCTTCAATTACATTTTGACTAGTCAAAATTCCTTTCAAGATATCTCAAATGACGTCACCGGATTCGTCATTGGAAGGGTCATACATCCGGATTTATAATTTAAGATATCTCGGACGTAATCATGACTAGTCAGAATTACAATTTTAGATATCTTAGGTAAGAGATTGCGTGTAAGCCCCTCTTTAGCTGGACTGAGCTGTCCAAATAATTTGCCTGAAGTTCCAATGGCGCTGGCAGTTTTAGACAAAATTGTAAGAAAATGTCACAATATAGAAAGATCTCTTCAGTATGGGATATGCGGAGAGCGCGAGAATCGAGTACTTGAAGAATGTTTAAGAAATTTGCAAAGAATTTCTGATTTGCTTTCTGCCGACACACAACGCCCTGAAAAACGGCTTAGAGGAGCTGAAAGTGATGCTGTCGACCCATGTCCAAGCTGGAAATGGGGAATATTCCGCAGCTCGGGCCAGCTCAGGTAATAACCAGATGTAGTTTTTAAAGTGGTAAAGCTGTCTGCCTCTTCGGAAATTACAGTAAAGCCAGCCAGCTCTTGATTTTGGCATGCAAGGCATTACAGCATCCTCTTCTCTGTAAATAAAAGCGCACCTCTGGTTCATGTCTGTTTCACACTTTAAGCTGTGTCAAGAAAATCCAAGATCATCCCACTTCCCCATGTGGGAGATTTTAGTTTAACAGTAACAATAAATAAAGTTACCTTTAAAATAAGTCACACAAATCACATCTAGATCCAACAGTAGACCCAAACTGCAAATAAAATAAATCTGGTTGTGTGTGTTGTTTTTGTCTCCTGCAAACTTTGCTTTAATTAAACTTATTTTTTTCTATCTAATCATAAGAAATCATAGTCAGAGACAGAGATGAGACAGGAAGAGCAGGTTTCCTGGAAAAAGAGGAAATAAGTTTCCAGCTTGCAGCTGTATAAAAATAGCTGAGACTATTCATTGTTTAAAAGCATAAAAGTTTTAAAGGATGAAATCTAAACATTTTGAGTAATTAGATAATTTAAAGGAAAGTACTTATATTAATATTGGTTTACTTATAACAATACTTAAATTTACACTCTCTCTTGTGGGAAAACTTACAAGTAAAGCAAGTAACTGTAACTTTGGTATCAAATAATAATAAAAGAGTAATAAGTTGTGAATATCATAAACTTATAAATTAATGCTAAATTAAATAAACTAAAAGGTTTATGAATGTGATTCTAACATTGAACTTGAAATGGTGTAAAACATGTAACTGCTATTAAAGATCACTGATGATGTGTTGGAGGTGGATAGTAGGTGAAAGGTGAAAGGTTAGGGGTAAAATGGGAACTAACGGAAAGCAGAGATGACCAAGGCCTTATTAGGACATAGATTGTTGAACAACTTAAACGTGTCAGAGACATGGGAGGAACATTGAGCAACCCTGAGACATTGCCAAGACACCAGGACAAGATGTCTCTAAGACAGTGATGGAGATAGGCTAGATGATTGATTTTACTCATTTGATTATTTCTGCTACTGAATTAAGCTGTACTGACCCTTGCAAAATTGCTTTACTAATAAAATATTTAGCATAAAGAAAATCTAAAAGATTACTTAAGTTCTGACAGGGAAAATCCCAGCAGATTTAGGAAACTCAATTTACCCGTTAGATGGAGAGCTGGTAGCACATCTGTCCTCTCAGAAGAGGAAGTAGTGACTGAGAGAGGAGAGAGAAGGAAGGGGCAACAACAGTTGCTTTCCAGCATCAATAAAATTTAAAACTTTGTGTTCATGCATTTGCAACAGGAAATTATGTATATCAAATTGAATGTATATATTGTGTGAAAGGCATAATGTAACCCTCAGGAGACACAGGGACACCTCTAGAGGATAGACAGATATAGACAGACAGAGAAAAAGTAGATGTATAAAGTAAATCTTGTGCTGAGGTATTTAAATATGATTCTATTTTAGGTGGTCGAGGTAGACCAGCTATTCGTATTACAAGAGAGCAAATCGACTTTCTTTTGGCCCAAGGACACACGGTCAAGAGGATGGCAAACATCTTTGGATGCTCAACATCATTTCTTTATAAAAAGTCCAAAGCACTTGGTGTACCAATCAGGGGAAGGTTGGCTGCTGTGACTGATGAAGATCTTGAAACTAATATCAGACAACTTCAATCCCTGTATCCAAATTCTGGGACTGAGGTACGGAATCTAAATATATTGCTTCTGAAAAGTAATATGTTCAACTGTGGTGGTGCACAGTACTAATCATTTTATCATTTAATGTAAATGTCACAAATGATAATGATTTTTAAAAATTATTTATTTTATGAGCAGATATGAAATCTGAAACCTATATTTTATAAAAGATTACTTTCAAAATGTGAAATTGTGTGGTGGTTTGAAATAGTAAGACCACATGTCCTTCATTAAACCAGATGATGCGAGGCTTGTTGCACGCACGAGGACTAGTGGTTCCACGACGTAAGGTCCGTGAGACGATGGCTCGAATCAACCCAATGGCAACTGCAAGGAGGTGGAGCAGTGCAGTGTCTCGACGTGTCTATCATGTGCCATACCCCAACAGTTTATGGCATATTGATGGCAACATGCGTCTCATAAGGTATCTGAAAATATCAAGGATGTATTTTAGAGTGGATATCTTAGAACTAAATTCACTATACACATTTGAACACATTATTCCTTATACACTTTTTTGTGTTTCCATTTAGGTGGGGCTTTGTGGTCCATGGTGGCATCGATGGATGTTCTCGCTTAATTACTTACTTGAAATGTAGCACAGACAATCGCGCCTCAACAGTGCTATTTCATTTTCTCAAGGCAACAGGCCTCTATGGTTTACCTTCTCGAGTGAGGTCAGATCATGGTGGCGAGAATGTGCAAGTGGCACTGGTGATGAACCTCCTGCAGGGCATTGAACGTCGGAGTCATCTAACTGGGGAATCCATCCATAATCAGAGAATTGAGCGTCTTTGGAGGGATGTGTTTTTACATGTTCTGGAACCATTTTATAGCATGTTTTATAATCTTGAAGATTCAGCCCTATTGGATCCCAGCAACGACGTGCACAAACTTTCTCTTCACGTAGTTTTTCTAACTGAGATTCAAAGCCGACTAGAACAATTCAGAAAGGCATGGAACCACCATTCCTTGCGTACAGAAAACAACAAAACACCAACACAAATCTGGACTGAACGGATGTTAGCAAACATGGGTGCCAACAGCACAGCAACTAACAACGTGTTTGGTGAAAATTCCAACACACCAGAGACTCTTGAAGAACTTCTGCAACAGCACGGCCTTGGGCTCCTTCCAACCACTGATGCTGAAGAGGTTCCTAGTGTAGTTGTAGAACCACCCCAAACCAGCCTCAGTCAGCAACAACTTCAATCAGTTGATCTTGCAATCAATCATATTTCTGATCTGAAGGAGAAATACCAGGCCTGTTGTGCAGAAATTGCTTTATTGATTTAAGTAACTGTCACTATGCTTGAGAAGTGACAAACAAATGCATTGTTCTGAAGATACAATTACTACAAATAACTCAGAATTGACATGAGTAGGTAACCTTACAAATTTAATTATAAAATGTAACAATAATAAAGAATTATTGACTCAAAACAAGCTCTTTTCTTGATGAAAAGTTACATGTAAGTTAGTTTTATCTTTAGTGCACAAAAAACATTTGCACAAGAAAGTATTTCAAAAAGACTTGGTAAGATCTTACATTTTTGCAGTGTGGTTCAAACATACACCTTTAAATTGTGAAACCAAAAAGTGGTTAAAAAGACATCTATTCTTTGCATAAACATATATATATATATATATATATATATATATATATATATATATATATATATATATATATATTGTATTTACATTTTAACATTTTCGAAATTTGGCAATTAAATTACCTTGCTTTAAACACTTGCTTTAAAACATTAAACTTTTTGAGACATTAAAACATGTAACTTTTTGAGACATTCCAACTCTTTTTTTTTTTTTTTTTTCAAAGAACTGCTTATTACACTTATTAGCTGATTACGCAATACCAAAGGTAGGTGCCTGCAGCACCCCGTCACTCATGTACTTTGTGAAAGACTCATAGTCTGGGTGTACAGGAAGGCGGAGTACTATAAGGCATGTATTTGCTTCTGGAAAGACTTTGTTAGCCTCATGGAGGAATTCAATTTGTGGACGATGGGGAAAGCCTAGTGGAGGTACGGTGGATGCTCCAGAAGCAAACTCCAGTATCATTTCAAGGGTAATGGGGCTGCATTCTCCTTCTGAAAGACAAAATGTTGAAATTATTATCTTTGATAAAAGGTATCCAGTGTCTACACGTAAAGACATGGAAGAAAATGTGTTGCATGTCTGTTTGTGTTCCTCCTCAGTTTTTTTATATTGGTGATGACAATGCATTTCTTGTTAGTAAATATAAATCAATAAACATTTTGAAGCCAAACCATGACTAAGCATGATCATTGTAAATGGCATATAAAAGGATGCATTCATGCAACAAATTACTCAATATATATTTACTGGCCAAAAACAGATCATTTCTATGGCAGTTTAACAAAAAGACTTTCCCAGAAAGAGATTTTTCACATTTTGGTCCTGTGACTAGCCATTTAAAAAATGTGCCTCAATATTCAAACTATTTCTTTTTGGACAGTGGTGATAAATCGGTCACAAAATGTAATTGATACCAGTTTTGCTTACATATCAAAGTAATTGTACCTTCAATATCCACCAACCAGTCTCTCCAGTAGCATATGGTTTGATTTTCTATCCTCCTTTTATTGCTACCTTGCACAGAAAAACACACTTGGAAAAGTGTGTACAGGTCGCGTGCCAAGAGTGGTTTCTCAGCACAGACAAACAACTCATGAAAGAGTGCAGGGTTTTTCTGAATTTCATCTAGCACATTAAGAGTCTTCAAACCTTCCACAAACCTTTAAGAAAAGAGAATATGCTCTTACTTTTAGATACAACAAGATTTCTAAAACAAAAATTAGGATCTTGCTTACTGTTGCAATGCAGTGCTCACTCGGCCATTTACAAAGAAGTCTGCAGCAGATTGCACAAGGGAGTCCCTCTCTTCCAGAGTAGTTACACGCCTTAATGCTCCAACCATGCTCAGGGTATCTGCTGCCTGCATAATGGCTTCGTTTGCCTCCACAATTGTGTTTGTGTCCTGAATCTAAAAAGAAAAAACATGATATGACACTGAATGTAAGCTTATGATTAATATCTAAAATGCTTAAAATTGCTACTTACCCCGATCAACTGCTGTCTGAATGAATGGTTAACAACTTCCTCAACCAGGGTAGATTGACACAATGTGCCACAAATTTGGTCATACAGCCTTTGAGAGAAGAAATGTGGTCCAATGCCTCCATGCACCAAACAGACTGATATCATTTTTCCAATAAGGTTGTACATTTTTGACTCCAGCGCTAAAGAAAAAATAATTTACTTGACAATTAGCTATCCTTAAGAATTGGGGGCAGGGGGAGAAAGAATACTGACCATGAGTATCCAAAGCCAGTTGACGGTTATTCTCATGCCCCTCAAAGACATTAGATTGATGAATGGCCCTCATTAACAGTCTTAGATACTCTCGCATGGGACCACCTTCATCAAATGCCCCTTCAGCGTTGTCCTCTTCATCCACAAAAATAACATCCAGTTTTGCTGCCGGATCAAAACGGCGTCTTCTGAAGGCATGCAGGCTACATTCTAAAATTCTGTCCCTGGACACATTTATTTGGTTGCTTGTAGGACAGAAAGTCATATCAACCTTGCTGTATATTTTTGCTAATATCGTCTGAAGATCTGTTCTGTAAAAAGAAAATATATATTTATTGTGTATTGTTGGAGTAAACAATGGTTTGCAACTGTCAAAACTAATTACATAAGACACTGCCAGAATATGCAATTTTTACTCACTCATCCAAAGGCAACTCTGGTGGATGTTGTGGAGACTCAGGTGGCTCTTCTTGGTCTTCCAGTAGAATTATAGGTAGCTCAGTAAATGGAGATGCTGGTGCCTGGTCCTCAATGAACATCACCTGTGGAGCCAGGTTAGAGTGGGGGGAGAGGGGCAGCCTTGAGGTTGCAATCACAGGAACTTCAGAAGTTGGTTGTGCTTGAATGGAGGGCTGGGACACAGCTGCCCAGGAGGAGAACAAAGTTGATGTTTCTGGGGAGTTGGGCCTGGTCGACAGCACTTGAGGAGATGTTGGAGCCTGTGGTGACTGGGCTGACAAAGATGTCAGTGCTTGGTCAGAGAGCAATGTCTGTAGACATAGGACAGAAGACAGTGACTGCTCCAGCATACATTCGCTTGTACTGGACACCTTTCTTAAGCAAAATAAAACAAAAACCTAATCATGCCAATGTCAATGTCAATTTTATTCATGAATCACTTTCAAAACAGATATTTATTGCACCAAAGGTCTGCACGGTGTTCATTAAGCACAGACAAAACACATAAGAATAAAACACAAATTAAAACAGACAAGTACATTACAATGTCGGGCCTTACAAAAAGCCAAAGAATACAAATGAGTTTTAAGGAGCGATATGAAGTGTTCCAGACTATGGGTAGATCTAATGTTAAAAGTTAAGTTTATCCAAAGATTAGGAACAGTGACAGCGAATGCTGATCCTATTCGCTCTCACTCAGACTGGTCCAAGGAATAGGTAAGAGCAAGCTATTATTTGACCAAAGTGTTCTAGAACTGGAATGGTCGTGAGAAGGTCTTGAACAAAAGCTGGAGCTAGGCCATGTAAAGTTTGAAAATCCAATAAAAGACTTAAAATCAATCTGATAAACTGGTAGCCAATGCAGAGAAGTGCTATATGCTCTCATTTCTGGGATCCAGTCAAAAGTCTAGCTGCAGCATTTCGAAACATTTTGGGGGAAAAAATACTGAAGACATCGTATGGGATCTGGGCTTAATTACTTTACCTGAATTTCTAGAGTTGAAATCCAAAGCACGTACAGAGTTACAGATGTTGCTATGCCATGATCCATAAGTGACCCTGATGAGGTGCTGTCAATTGGTGTGGATGATATTGCTTGTTGAACACTGAATATTTCACTTGCCATTTCATCTTGTCCAACAAAATCAAACAAGACCTTCAAAAAAGGGTAATGCAATTTCAGTTACAGTTACTTGAAAATAAATAATATACATTCTCTGAATAAACAGATTACCTGAATTGGGTCAGACACATTGAAAGTTCTCTTTCTGATAAATCCATTCGGATATTTGAACTTCAACAGCAGTCCACTTGACGGTTCTTCATATACCACCAGTCGTTGCTGCCGTTCTTCAATTGCCTAAAATATGAGCACTAAAACCTCTAGGTAATCCATAAACTACAAATATTCTAACAATGTAATACTTCTTACTTTTATGCGTCTTTCCTCCCAGTACTTGTAACACTGTCTTTTCCTTTCCTGGTAGAAAAAAATTGTGAGCAACAACAGCAAAAACAAATGATAACAAAAATGTTAACTCACATTTTCTTGGTCTGCGAGCAAAGACTCTTCATACTCTTCATCTTGCTGGGACAGCAGAGATCGCCGATCTAGACGTGTCTATTGTGAATACAGCACAGAGTCAACATCAGAAAAAATATCTAAAACTATATATATTGTTCTTGAAATTAATGACCTGCTCTTCCCCCAAATGTTGTCTGTTGGTATTCTCAACCTCCGGGGAGGTTGAGAATACCAGCTGTCCTTCTGATGCAGTTGAGGGTTCTGGAAACAAACTCCTGGGCATTGCTGTGGTTGAGTAAGTTTCCTAGACATGTCCAAGAAATTTCAAATTATGGTGGCAGATATTACCCTGGATATACCATACTACATAAAATAATTTCTGTGTACAAAACAATCATACCTGTGACACATCTGCTCGTGGTAGAATGTAGAGCCTGCTTTTGCCAATCTTTTCTTTCAGCTCCCTTACAGAATTCACTTGTAGTTTTTTTATTTTTCGTCCTTTTCCAGCTCTAGCCAGTTCAAAGCCAACCAGATTTAGACTGATGTGTGGGTAGCTTTGACACAAAAAGTTATTAAATTCCGACAAACTCCAAGTCAAGTTGATTTTGGAGCACTTGGTTTCTGTCCCCTCATGCACAGGGTCGCCTGAATAATCAATGGCGACAAAGCAATGTTAAACACAATAACAAAGAACATGCCATTTAAGTTTAAACTCATCAGCCCGCCAAGTGACTCTGGTGAAAGAGTAAAATTATGATAAAGTGGTGACTTAAAACCCAATTGGAGATGTTAAAAGCAAAAGTGCCTCCTTCTGTCACATTACGCGGGTGTATGAAATAATGTCATTTTTGAAAAAATATGCCCACCTAATCCATGGTTTTTCAGTCTTCGTACATCCGAGGGAGAAGGAAGAATATCAACATTAGGGCCAGAAAGCAAAAAAATATTTGTCTTCCAGACAACACTTGGCTGCCTCCCAACCGATCCTGCAATGAACACAACAGAATCACACCATTGATGCTCCATTCATGCTAACTGACATTCTGTAACATTGAGTGTGCTAACTGGGATTGCCACCTTTCACAAGTTTCAAAAAGGAACGCCCACTACGGCTTCTCACGTAATTATGAAAATTGTGAAATTAAATTAAAATGTGAAAGCCAATAATTTGATTTCTCATAATGAACAAAGACTGGCTACCTGCCAGGTTTAACCCGCCTCTGGTGTACTTGCTCTCCGTTGCTGGTGCGAGATGGGAAGAAATCATATACAACAAATCGCTTCCCATATCGCTTCAATAAGGGACGTAAAAGTTACTTGCTAAAATACTAGACTATTCCGTATTTTATAGACAATTCCAGTTCTAAATAAATAAGCTACTTAAATTTTGCCAATATTTCTTTATTCCACGAGCATGAAGCTAACGTAGGCTGGAAAGCTAGTTCTATGAACCGGCATCTGAACATCCACTTACCTCGACTTCTCTGCACCTGACGCCGAAAAAGTCTTCTTGTTGCTGTAAATAAATTATCAGTATTTCTTAATTCATGTCGAGCACGAGCTGCCGCGCTAAATATTGTGTTAAAACACGAGTATTTGAGCTGGACTGACCTGACATTGTGAACCGCTGAACAGTCAACTAGCTTGAAGCTGGAATGCTGTACGCCCTGTCCGCCAAAATGCTACGTAAATCAGTGACGTTTTGACTAGACAGAACGCTAATTCAAGATATCTGTAACGTCATTTTGACTAGTCAGAATGTTCATTTAAGATATCTTAAATAGAAAAGTTGAATAATTCAAGATATCTCTAATTCATTTAGAGATATCTTAAAGGAATTTTGACTAGTCAATATTATAATTCAAGATATCTCTAATTTAGTTTTGTCTAGTCATTATTTGCTTTTAAGATATCTATAATTTAATTTCCACTAGTCAAAACTACATTTCCACTATCCAAAAATACATTTAAGATATCTTGAATTATGGACTAATTAGAGATATCTTTAATTAGAATTATGACTAGTCAAAACTACAATCGAGATATCTTGAATTTACTTTTTGACTAGTCATAATTTAATTGTAGATATCTGAAATGTGTATTTCAGATAGTCAGTAATTCATTGTAGACATCTTGAATTGAAGTCCCCATACAAATCAATGGTAAATCTGACGTCATTTTGACTAGTCAGAATGTAATTAGAGATATCTCAAATAGGTATTTTGTCTAGTCAAAATATAATTAGAGATATCTTAAATTGCAAAAATGTCTAGTCATAAAACAATTTGAGATATCTGGAATGTAAGGCGGCAAAACCGAATTTATGTTAAAACGGCTTGCCATATGCTGCTGGCTTCCAGCCAGAGCCTCGCGTGTTGTAAATAAAGTTCTCTTCAAACATGTCCTAGCGTGGCCTTTTTCTCTCTCTCTCTTACTCCATTTCCTCTCTGGAGTCTCCTGGGCTGATCCAGAGAACAGTTCAATTTCAAAAACACCACGGTGGTGATGTTGGCTGGGACGCCGGCTGCGTGATCAACCGTTGGTGATTTTAGTGTTTATGTTGTTATTCCACAGACGAACGGGCCTGGATGGACGGGCTCTGCTGGCTGGGTGGGTTTCTTTTTTTTTTTATTATTTTTTTTTTCTGCTGACACAGCTCTCAGCTTTCTGCTATATTTCAGGAGTCTGTCTACAATGAGATCAAAGCACCAGAATGGATTTCATGTTCCTCCTGGAGAAAGTATCTGCCACCTGACGAGTAGTTATTTATGATGTGGAGGAGATAATCTTTTAAAAACCCCAACGTTCAATGTGAATTGGAATAAAACTAAACTTCTCTTAATTGGTACCAAATCAACACTGAGTAAACTTAATGACTCCTCCATTTTTCCCTCCCCTCAGGTCAAGAGTCTGGATATCAGCCTCTTCCTTTGGCTCCCATGCCAATAACATCACTCAGTCAGCCTACTTTCATCGTCTCCGTCCTTCTCCCACTGCTGCTCTGGTCCACAGTCTGGTCACTTCTAGATTAGGTCACTGTGATTGTCTTCCCTTTGGTCCGCCACAGAAAAGCTCTCCATAAATTACAATCGGCTGAAAATTCAGCCGCTCGTATCATCAAAACTGTTCTCCGACAGCTCCGCTGGCTTCCCATCTCACACTTTCAAATCGGTTCACAGTCTCCTCTCCCCGTAACTTTTGGACCGCCTTCACATTGCTACACCAAATAATGCAAGGTGACCTTGAGTGTCCAGAAAGGCGCCCACAAATAAAATGTATTATTATTTATTATGTATTTCACTGCGATTCCGTGTGACGAATGGTGGATATTTTTGAAGTAGAAGTGAAACAATACACAGTTTACTGAGGATGTTTAAAAAACACTGTACTAGACATAAAAAAATAAAACTAGGTGGGACTCGGGTAAAAACAATGTTAAAGGAAGGAATGTTGTGACGGCTTCCTGAAGGCGGAGGGTCAGAAAGACTAGGAGCTTCTTAAAGAGACAGAGACTTTATGCAGTCCAGGTGCAATATTTTGCAAAGTCAGTTTTCTTTTAAGTTATGTCTGACATGCAACAACTGAAGGTAATATCGTTCCTGTGCCTGGAAAATACATAATACCGCCTGCCTGTTTAAAGTTTTTACAAGGTAGACGCTTATTTGGCAGACACATTCCTCAAATATCCTTTCTAAACACTTGTGGTTTGTTTTTATGGGAAGAAAAATCAATTATCAACAAGGTAGTGATAATTGGTCCCATACCAATCGGACTTTAATTGACCTTACAGTGTATGAGTTCTACATCAGCATTCGCTCACAGTGCAGAGGTAGCCATCTATAAGGCAAAACTCCAGGCTCAATATACGTCAGTGAGTTATGCATAATTAATCAGATGATTTGAAATGCTGTGCAATAGACTTCTTCGCATAGTGTTTTTGCATTAAAGATGCATGTAGCCCCTATGTCTGCAATATGAAATAAATCAAAAACGCCTTTAAATGTAAACCCTCTGAGAGACGATCGCCACTGGCACCAAAACACAAATGCAACAGACTTTGCTCCAAATTTCTCCATAAAGCAGTCTACATGTTATCCATAAACTATATCATTGGCTTAAATCATCACCCGTCAGGCAAACGTTAAGGATTGAGTAGAATGTAAAACTTCAACAGGGTTTACGCCTCAAGCAAGCAATTGGTCCTCAAAAGCCCAAGGTCCAGATCTTCTGTACGAGTAGAACAAGGGGACAAGCTAATGTTCTTCTAATGTTCTTCCTGTTCATTTGGGGGGTTTCCCTTAATACTCTCTTCCTTATACACAGCAAGCACAAGCATGTTGACCAAGCATAACTCCCCTCCTGCTGGGAAAAGTGCTGCACACATTCAATTGATACTGAGAGATTATTTCTATGCACCTGAGAGCCTCTTTAATGGTGTTGAAGGTGCAATCGAGCTTCCATTCTCGTCTGTCCCTCTGTCTATAACCCAGAAGGATCAGCTGTCTAATCAGCAATCATTCACATTCAGACAAAAAAAAAAAGAGGCCAGCTGGTGACTTTTTAAAAGTACTCACATCTCTTGAACTTTACAACTGCTTTCTTCGTTGGGCTTTATTGGGATTTTTTTGTGACTGTGCAGCAAAACAGAAGGACCAGACAAGGGGGAGCAACCACAAAGTGCCGTGGTAGCTTTGGTTGGACCTGTAGAGATCCAGACTTCATGTGAGAGAATCGTTTGACAGGATGGCTTTTTTGTTGTGCGTTCCATAAATCTGTCCATTATGGGGAGATTGGCAGGAAGAAAGCTATTGTTATGGGGAAAGCAAACAGGAATTTCCATTTGCAGTTGTCCATAAAGCGTTGTGGGGAAAACACAGGAAACATTTCAAAGGAGGTGTTTGCAGGCCAGATTAGACAAAGATCAATTTTTTTTTTTGAGTCAAGATCAACTTTATTTTACCCAAGAGGGAATTTGTTTTGTAGCCAGAGAAGACAAGAACAAACGCAACAGACAGAAATACAAAAGTAGCCACAACATCACCTGTTCTTTCCTTGAACATGTAAATGTGCAATTTGACATTTAAAAAGTAAAATTTGCTCAATGGAAAACATCAAATTAAAAAAAATGTAAAATTCATCTTCTGATGAGTTTTGTTAGGATGGGGTGTTGTTTTTGGTCTTGTTGAAATTGGTTTATTTCACACAATTGCAATTGAAAGTTTTTTTCACATCCAAGGATCAACAACCGGCTGTTGCCTCAGGCAAACCACGAAGAACAAGACGACAGGAAGTAGGTGGAGGACGACGGCGCCACGTCATTTTAATGACTTAATCACGTTAGCAAACTTGTTCGTGTCAGATTTTAAGTGCGTTCCTTCTCTATTGTGAAATTGCGGTGCTTTTTGACATGAGCGGCACGTTGACAACGTTTTGCGCGGATGTGTAAGGAAAAAGCAGATAGTCATGATACAATGAGGACACAGACATTAGCTACTGCAGTGTATTGAGGGGCTAAGTACCAATGCTGCTGTTGTTTTCAGATTTTTGCTTGTAAAAAAAACCCTGAAAACTGTGTATTACTTCCCATCCATTATACTTTCCGTTGTTTATGTTGCAACAGAACACAGTACATCCAGTCTGCTGGGGCCACAGCGCATTTCGGAGTCTGACCCGCATCGCCCGACAGATGACTTTGTGAGAGGAGACCTTCTCATCCTCTGGGCCCGAAACTGTGTGCTGCCTGGCCTGAATCAGCTCCATTAAAGAGGCCAACAGGCTATTAACCCCAGCATCAATACCTCACAGGTTCAGCAACGCCCCCAAACCCCATTCCAGCAGCCGGTCATAAACACCGGCCTTATTATAGCCTCTCCTGGCCTGAGCGGTGAGCTCCAGTCGACCTCGTAACAAAAGAGTCCTGAAGTCAACATTAACCCGGGTGGGACGGGGGCCAGAAACGAACAAGAGACAGAGTCGTGGGGACGCGGGAGCTAATGAACTGCTGCTCGGTTTTATGTTTCAGGGTTTAATTCCTGTCGGTGGGCTCCAAACGATTTCATTCAATTCCGTTTGGGGAATGGAAGTGGTTCCGGACTGCTGGATTTGTGCATCCAAATGGAAGATAAAGAGCGCTGACTGGATCGCATTGTGCCACATCAGTTCGCCTCAATCATATTCCCTCCCTGGAACTCCTTCCAGCAGACTTTTTATTCGTAAGCCCCCGGCTTTAATCAACATTAGGCAAGGAGCTGTTGAAAGGAATAAAACAATTTAGCGACGACCAATGCATTTGTCTCACAGCACGAATGCGACTGCAAATGGATTTTTTTTAATTTTTATTTTTTCTATTCACCGGCTTGCAAAGATAACATCACAGCAAAATATGATCTGAGTTTTAGCATTGACAAAGCTGTAGGGATGGCGCTGCAATCAGAGTTAAAGTGCAAGCCGCGATGAGTTTCTCTGTGAGAGCAAACAAAGGCAGATTGTTTTAGATTAGAGCTTATCGCGGAAGTGCAGCAGAAAGGCCCCACTGAGAGGAAAGATCACATCAGTCAAATCCCATCTTGGAATCTGACGAAAGTGACAACTGAGAACAAAGAACGCGCGCGTGCGCACGCACGTGACCGTGCGTGATCCTCATTAATGATCTCACCCCGGGGTGAAAGCGGAAGCGGCGACGCTGAGTGCAAGACGCTCATGAAAGCCTTTGGCAATAAATGCCACGGCGGGAGGAGGCGCCGGTGACGTCACTCGTCCCCTCTTCCCTCTGGCAGGCTCGCGGTGTTTACCCGACACCCTCAGGTGCGAGCGACTGAGGCGTCACTAGGCAACCGCACCGTCCCTGGCGCTGCTCTGCCTCTGGCGCTCAAGTGGGAGCTTATGTAGACTTAACTCGGAAAAGAGCAGCAGGGCTGAGGAGCGGGAGGGAGGATTACCAGGAAAAATATTGGATTGGGCCGAGACACAAGGGCCGGGGCCTTACCTGAGTCCCCCGCCGCCGTCGAGTCCTGACGCCCCGAGAGGCTCTGGGGCCTCGACGAGGTTCCCACACAACCAGAAAGAGTGAGACCCCGGGGCGGCTTTCTTCTTCTTCGGTGTTTTTATTTATTTATTTATTTATTTAGTATTTGATTGATTATTCACAGCGAAGTCGAGCAGACTGGGAGCTTAACGAGTGAAGGGAAGTGTAAGTGTTGAATGGTGAACGCCATTATAACCTAATGTTGAAGAGAACGACTCTGTCAGCGACAGTTAAGCCTTACAAAGGGAATGAAGTACTGCCATCTAGTGGCCACCGGGCGTGTTTTCCTGAAGGAAATGGAAAGCTCCACATTGACGGGGAGCGCGCGCGCCGTAAACGTATTTAACGTTGTGATTTGGCTTTCATTTTTTTAATCACATCTGTCAGAATAACTTGCATGCTCAGATAAACCAGAAGTTATGGAAAAGTGGTAATAAAAAAAAATAAAATAATGCATGTTGCATCTCTAAGAAAAAAAATGCTCTGGTCAGGTAAGATGTATATTCAACTATGATGGCATATTAGGGTCATTGTATATAGGACAAAGAAAAGATTCAATATCTGAGAAAATTTCTGAATAATTCTTGAGATTTTTCTCTTGGAAAATTTGTTAGCTTGATCTCAGAACTTCTCAGGTTTTATTCCCTGCACATTTTCAACTTCTTTTTTTTTTAACTCAGAAAATCTGAAATCAGTTTGAGAAATTTTCTGAGTTCTTCTGCTAGAACATTTCTGAGCTGTGTCTCAGAAGTTTACTCCTCTCTTCTTTTTCTATCTGCAGTGGCCCTAATGCGCTGGCGAAACATGGTGGCAGTAGCATCATACTGTGGGGAGACTTTTCCTCAGCAAAGACAAGAAAGATGGTCAGAGTTGATGGAATGGAGAGGGAACTAAAGAGTTAACCTGTTAAGAGTTGATAGGTGATGAAAGTACATTCATGTGCTCGAATGGTCCAGTTAAAGTCAATATCTAAATCCTGGAAAATCTGGAAATCTTTATGTTTGCTAAGCTGGTAGGAAATATGTCAGAAAGACTTTGTGCATGTCAAATGTCTTAATATTAATTCCAAACAGTAATGAAAACCCTGAACCCGTGTTCCACTTCTCAATTGAGCACCACTTATGGTTTTGGTCTATCAAAACAAACAAACAAAAAAACCCTATGATGTATATTTTTAGGCTTGCGGTGACAAAATCTGAGATGTCAAAAGGACGGGTATCCTTCTTCATGAGCTGTGTAACGTTCCGTTTTAATGGGCAGCACAGACACACACACACACACACACACATGGAAAAAAGACGTTTCCAATCATTAAACCATCAGGCTGCTTTCCCGATGGAAGAATGGGCCTAATTATTTCCAGCAAATGGTTTATTATGGCGAATGTTAGCAGCTGATGTGACAGCTGTTGCCAGTGCACTGTGCAGGGGCTGATAATGGGGACAGCCTTAAACAAGACGACTCAACAAAGAGTTGGACAGACTGGTAAGCAGGCTGCGTGCGTGTGGTTTCGTTCTGAGCCGAGTGATTGTTGCTGCCCATCTCACACACACACACACACACACCTGGGGGACGTGTGCAGTGAACTACAGGTGGTTTTTACAGATGTTAAGGGTTTAGGTTTTTTGTGTACAAAGCCTGCAATCCCTACAGACATCCAGCAGATATTTAGATACTGCCCCCTGGTGAAAAGCAAAGCAAAACGCATCAATACATGGACTATGTAAAATCATCCTTTATTCAAACTTTTCAATAGAGAAATTTAGATTTTCTTGGTGCAGTGTGTGTGAATTTTCAATTCTATACAAAACCATATGTAAAACTTTAGATGAAACATTTACAAATATACAAGAAGAAACTAGTTTCTTACGAGAGAAGACCTAAAGGGCTGTCCAGTAGCACACCAAAGTAATAATGTGACATTACCGCTGTCAGCTTGCAGCAAGAGTAAAAATATGTGTTGGTAGGCAACAAAAAATAAGATTGCAAGAGGAGAAGAAGAAGAAAAAGAGGTTTGGTTTAGCAACAGAGGTTAGAAGCCTTCAAAAAACTATTATAAATTGTAAGTTTAAACATAAAGGACAGATTAAAATGAAGAACACCCAACTCTAAGCATCTGAAATCTAAAATGTCATTTCAAACATATCCTGTGGTAGACATACTTTTTATTTAAAACTTTTTTCAGCTTTATGCAATAGGACACACTTGAAGCCTCACATAATAAATAAATAGCTAAACATTAATTTAAACTTTGATTTTTAGTAAATAAATACGATGAAAATTTTAAATATGCTGCAAGGTAATGGAGATGAACAGAGTGAGCTTACAGCAGGGTTAATTGTGTGAGAATGGTTGTATGGCTTATTCATAGTTAGGAAGGCAACTCAGCAGGTTACACAGTTTGGAGTTCAAACTAAAAATCGACAAAAACTAGAACGAGGTCATCATTCAACAGAAAAGAAAATCATAAACAAACCGGTTGTTGTCTAACACAAGTGATTTTCATAGCTTTGAAGACTAGCTTGCATACAAATATTCAGAAAATAAACCAAACTATGATACAGTGCACAATTGTACATTATGTCGTTTGTTCACACAAAACAAGACCTTCATAAAACACGGTTTACTTTTGCACCATCTTGAAAGAAAGGTTTTCACAGGGCAGATAAAGGGGCATTAGTCAACGACTCCTCTGAAGGAAAAGAGGTATCACTTGAGGAGGGAGGTAGAGAGGCCTTCCAGTATGGCTACGATTGTATTTTATGATAGCAGGTGAACCTAAAGAACCTTTAAATTCACCAAATAGATCATCTCCTCTCCTTTTTACCCAAAGGAGTTTTTTTCAAGTGAGAGCATTTTTGTCTCTCCACTCGCGTCGCTCCCTCTTCCCCCTCTAGTTCTACTCTCTCTAACATCAAGGCTATTTGAGAAAGCCCTTGTAGAGGAAATGAGAGCGACTGGTAAATCTCTCGTTCTCCAGGCAGAAGAGCAGGTCCCTGAGATTGACGCGCGTGATGCGCTGCCGAGTGAGTCTGGAGCCAGAGGAACCGGCGGTGCCGGTTAGAGACGAGCCTGTTCCGGATCCCTGGAAGATGTGGAAAAGTTGAGGAAGAAGGAAACGGTGAGTGATGCTGATGTTACAACTACAAACGTACTTGTGCATAACTGTGCAGTGAATGACTCAAACTTTTGCCTGAGCTTTAATTCTGCCTCGAAGACATAATTTAAGACATGTGACTAGTATATTAAAGACCGTATTACGTTTCTCTGAGACATTTTAAGGCCTTCAATATAGATACATGAGTATCTAAAAAGTATCCGCTTCACAAAAATATGTCAATTTAAAGTAAATAAATAAAAAATTGAAATGAAAAGTTTCTGCGCTAGATTGAGCAGGTGTATTTTACTCTTGATGAAATACACTACTTTATCAAAAGTTGTGTATTTCGCAAAATTGCACTGAAAACACTTTTTTGGCATCGCAGGAGCCACACAAACAACAGGTAGTTACTACTGACGGAAAAGACAAAGAAGACGACAGGAAGTGGTAGGATGATGATGTGGTGTTTTTAAATTACTCATAGCATGAACAAAATGAATGTCATGTGATTTTAATTGGATTTCTTATTTATTTAATGGAAATACAAGATAATTGTGATTTCATTTAATTTTTTTTCATTAGCAGAATATTGACAAAGTTTTGTGCACATTTGTAATGGAAACACCTATTGATTATAGGTGAGCAACAAGGAAAAATGCTTTTCTCTATGTGTAGCAGATCCATATAGTACACAAGTCCCACTTTCTGAAATGAGTGACAAAAAAACAAACATTTTCCCTGATTCTCTGCTTTTTCCAGCTTTTACTTGTACAATTGAGCACCAGATAGCAAACTGAGAGTTTGGACAGAAAGCACCATATGGCCGGGACTTTCCCTGGGGTAGAGCCTGCATGTTCTTCTGAGCACACTTCTCTTCCAGATTCCACCCACGGTCCAAAGACAAGCAGATTACACTGATCAGCGATGAGCAAGGGAGCTCATAAAGACCGTTAGCGCAACCAAAACGAATGATTATGTTGGCAAAGCAGAAGTAAAACCATTTAAAGGAGAGAGAAGGTAATAAAGAGGTATGTTTAAACGCCTTTTAGTGAGAGGTGAGAAGTGGGTGTGACGGGTTTTGGTTTAAAAAAGTGACACCTTTCCAAGTATGCCATAAAGCGTTAGCTGTAACATTAAACTGCACTAAAAGGAGTATGAAGGGCAAATTCTCAAAGGCCAATGAACAGTTTCCTCAAAAAAAAAAAGAAAAAGAAAAAGAAAGACGTTTTTCTTCACAAGAACAGGGAGAATAAAGGATGAAAGTCTAAATGAATGTGTCCTTCCATTAGACGTACTAATCAAACTCGTTATAATGCGATGTGTGTTTACAGGAGTCAGCTGATGGCTGCAGTGAGAACAGAGCTCTGCTTGACCTGACGAGAGGCGTCACTCTGCAGGTTTCTCTGCTTGGGACTCTGAGCAGTTGGCGAGGACTGCCGATGACAGCTGCTTACAAATTCAGCTTTCCATCACTGACACAGCCACCGGGAAGCAGGCTCGACTCTCAGCGCTAACATTTGTAACCATTAACAAAAAGAATGTTTCAAACTGGAGCTGTAAATACACTCAGTGACTCCCAGAAAGGCTCTGTTCACGCCACTGCCTTGCTAAAGTATTCATATCTCATTTCTTTCAATCGCATTGCAACCTCAAACTTGAGTGTGATTTTTTAAATTTTATTTTGTGATCGGTAAATCTTGTCACAACAAGCAATAAATCGATTCAACGTACGCTAAATTAAAAATGAGCGTGATCGTTTCATCTTGGACAATGATCTTTAAAAGACACTTCCCAAAGCCGCCATTTTGAAAAACAATGAAGTAGTTAGTTTGCACTTTTTTTTCATATAAAAATCCTACCTGGTTCTTTTGCCTGTTTCCCTGTCCAAGAGGAATGATTCATATTTTTTTAAATGGTTTCAGGTGCTTCATCATCTATTTTAATTATTGTTGTCTGTTTTGTTTAGTTGTTTTGAATATTTAAAATGTTTTTCAGTTCCAGTGTTAAATGTTCTTGATTTTTGAGATGGGGTTCTTGCATTAGTATGTCCTTATTATTATATTAGTTGAAAATGTTCTCAAAATGACAACGTTATTGTTTATTGTGATGCTTTCTGGCATCAATTATGGTCCAGCAAAATTTGTTATTGTGACAGAATGATGACAGGCCGACGCAAAATTGCTCTGGAGGAGCTGCATTTGTCCAATCCATAAATCTGGTCAATTTGAATTACGAGCAAAATGACGTCTGTTTTAAAAAAAAAGCATAGATAGTCCTCTAAAAGTCTAAAAGACTCCAGATTTCAAAGACAAGAGGAAACATCCCTCAAAAGACTTGCAACTGAAATCATTTTACAATTATCAATGTCAATTATATGGCACTTTTTGTTTACTAGATATTAATTAAATGCATAAAAAGTTTTTGACTTTGAGAAAAGTCAAAAACATCTCTTTTACACATCGAGGCACAAAGATAAACTATGGCTGAGTTGTGCTGTCAAATAATAACTCTTACAATTACAGAATATTTCCCAACTAATCCTTTTTAGTTTTTCCCTGATGTTGCAGTAATAAAAACAGGACAGGTGGGGAAAAAACAGAGAGAGAGATGACCCAGAAATGCATCCGGCCGTGGCTGCTGCAGGTGCACAGGCATAAATCGTGCAAACATTAATTATCGACTTCATTGTTACCTCAGCCGAAGCAGACGAGGATGGAGAGTCCAGGTTCTTCTTCTTCTTCCTGGGCCCAATGGCTGCCAAAGCAGTCAGGTTGGCCTCCCTCTGTCTCATCTGAGCCAGCTCCTGCTGCTGCATCTGGACAACACACACAAACGCTCACCAGAAACTGGATCAGTCGTAAACGTGACGGACAGACCTGCAGACCGTGCTACGCCTCAACTCCTACCTCTTTCGCCTTCTGTTTCAGACGCAGCTGCTCAGGATCCTCTTGCCGCGCACGGGACTGAAAGACCGACATGAACAAGAGTCGTTTATCGAAAGTCCAGTTGGTTCTTTAAGGCACTTCAAGTGCAGTTTGATGTCAGCAGCAAAGCATAAAGACTAAGATATCGCTTATGTAACTGCAACAACTAGAAAAAGAAAAATCAGGCAAAAAAAAAAAAAGAATCCACTTACTTTTGCACAAGATAATTAAAAGGCAAGTGGTGTCAATTAAAAGCTCTTATTAAATAATCAGTTTGACATGTTGCACCACTTTAAACCACTTGTTAAATCTAACCCCAGCCGAGTCACAGTTGTAGACAGAACACGTTAAGTCGACTGTTTATGGTAAAGACAGAAATGTAAGCAGACATACAATATGTGCAAAATGATGGCAATAACAAGTATCACTACGGTCTACTTAAGCATGATTGAAGATTTGTGGAGATTAGGGTTATGGGAAAGAGGCCTTTCAACATCTACAAATGTTAGAGCGTATTACCACAAATTAATAAAGTGAAAACCAACAAATTAGGGATTATCAAAAGGATTGTCCTGATTACATACAAGTATTTGAAAGATTTTTGATTTATCAAAACGTAAAAAAAAAAAAACGCAAAATTTATATATTTTTAGATTGATACTCCTTTTGAGAGACGGCTGCCTTGATTTCTATTAGAAACAACTCTGAGTATCATGAAAGTCATTCAAAAACAAAATAAGCCACGAGTATAGAGAACTATAGACTGCAGTATATGGATATACCATTAGAGCTGAACCAATTAATCAATAATCGTCAATTTAGCAATCGATTAATAGTTGTACATCTAGTGGTAAAATTTACCATCATCCAGTTCAAATTTACTAAAGAAATCATTTAGTAAACTTCATTTTCATTTCAGGCAATAAAATGTTTATTTTCTTATTGAAAAAATGAACTACTGGTTTATTTGGCTCCTTTAATGTATTTCTAGTGTAAAAACATAACCATTACAGCCCATTTTTACTTATCTTTTCAATCAGATTAATCATCAGAATAATGGATTACTAAAATAATTGTTAGTTTCAGCCCTATAAATCTCTCTTAGAAATTCTTTTTATTTGGTCCTTTTTAATTTTCTGTGAAACTGGATTTTCATTAGCTGTGAGCAACAATCATCAAAATTAATAGAAAAAACCCCGGTTTCACTTTTTACCTAAATAAATGTATGTTTCAATAACACATTGAAATATGTTCATGTAGAATAAGCTTCAAAGCCGTTACTGACCATGAATATAACCAACAATTTAAAACCCTGTGACCAACCTAAACCTCATTAAATGCACACATTCCTCATGACACAGCAGCTCCTATTGGTTAACAAAAGTGCCATGCTGGGATTTAAATTCACCAACTACAATAAGCCAGTATCAAGAGCAGGGATTTACCACTTCAAATGTGAAGTCCTGAAGCCCTGAATTGTTCTTAACAAAACAGCAACAACCCGAAGTCTTCAAATGTAAACTTTGAACACAGAGAGGGTTTGTTTTCTTCAAGCTTACGAGTTTTTACACATTCTGGCTTCAACAAACTAAAATCTATGAGTCTTTAACTATTTGACGTCATGTGGCTAAATCTGACGTTAGAAATTCAACCCATATACCAAGTAGGACACTTGATGACAGCGGGTTCCCTGATTGCGAGTCATAAATCAATCCCAGCTGACCCTGGGGTCAAACCGTACGGCGCTCTCGGGTCAACCGAAAAGCTGTTGAGTGACTAAAACGTCGGATGAAGGCAAAACATGTAAGACAGTTGTTTATGGTGAACACAAAAATGTGATGGGGGCTAAAAACAACAACAGGCACACGTGTGTTAACGAAGAAAAGCGACAGGTTTGGTTATTCAGAGTCACGTTGGCGTACCTTAGCTGCCTTCAGCAGGATCTCCCTCTCCTGCTCTTCCTTTCGCTGCTTCTCCAGCTGGTCGAGCTGCTCAAAGAACTTCAGCTGAGTCCGAACGTCACTGCTCTGCTCGTAGCTGTCGTCCTCCTGCTAAAAGACGCCATTGATATAGAAGCAGTCAATGTTGAACATACCGGTAATCATTTTAAAGCCGGGTTATGTTTTCATTTTCTTCCATTTATGGCACAATCAAGCAACTGCTGCCTTCAGTCAGGTAAAAAAAAAAAAAGACATCATTTAACGCCTTGAAATTGGGCCTCCTTCTCTTTCAGAAGATCCTGAAACTCCTCCTTCAGGAAGTTATCACAACATGGCTCCTTTGTTAACCCTTTAACAATGTTTTATCAGCGTTGCTCTGAAAAGGAACTTATATAATGATCTCGGCAGTTCCATCAGGTGCTTGCTAACTGCTGCTGGCTAGTCTAAAGGAGCTGAGTGAGAAAGTCACAAGGGAGAGCTGATCGGAATCTGCATCTCAGAGGAGGGACGGCTCGGTCCATTCAGGTGCTTTGTACAGCAAAATGGTTGCCATGGGAGATTAAAGGATTTATCTAACATGCATGAAAGAATGAAGGCAACACTCAGTATGTTTTTGATGAGCCGTCTTAAAGGGGAAGCTTAATGAAGCTGTCCCTTTAAGAAATCTGGTGGAGATGCAGCATTAAACCTCTATGCCCCGTGAATGTTGAACAAACCGAGTTCCTTTAAATCACGGCTAAAAAGCTGCCTGTTTAAAGTAACTTTTGATCAATGGTAAATGGAAGACTGATCAACATTTTATTACATGTAATGGTTCTTTTGATGATGGCATCTGACAAAATGTAATGGTTATGCTTCATATTATGATATAAGACACTTTGAGCTGCCTTGTTGATGAAATGCACTCTGCTAATAAGCTTGACTATAATTCATCAGCAAACCTTGAAGTTGATGTTTTTCTGCTGGGCTACATGGGAGACTTTTTCAAGTAAGTTCAGAAGTCGCTGCTGGGTGGCGTGGGAGACGTAATTCACCACCTCGGTGCCGAGCTCCGTAACGCCATACTTCATACCTGGAGGACGAAACAAACGGTGCGGTGAGAGGCTGACCGACGGGAGGGTCTCGTACGGTCGGGCAGGACTAGAGCCTCACCGATCTCCAGGATTCTCCTCTGCAGCAAGGCGTAGGAGAGGAAGGCCTCGTCCTTGCAGGAATGCGTCACAGCACCGACGAGTCCGGAGTTAGTTGCCAGGATGTTAGCGCTCTCCTCTGATAGGTTCACTCCCGCCATGGAGGCCACGTCGTTGATGTCGTCGTCATCTCTGCTGATGCAGAAGCAGACGTGTGGTGGTTACAGTATCTGACAGTCACTGTTGTTCGGCAAGACTCATTTGCTTTTTCTGCAATAATTTTACATTCATGAAACTATGTTAAGACTGAACTGTTTATGATGGCGAGTGCAGAGTTATGTAGATCAATTGCAAAACACATTAGCAAACTTTATAATGCATCTTATATAGATTTAATGTAATGAGGTAGTACATAATTTTGACCTTGAAGGCCAATTCAATGCGGATTAACATTCGAAAAGTCAACCCTACTGGATCATGCTGTAGGAATGTTTGTCTTCAATTCTGCCAAAGTTAACAGGAAGATGAATGAAACTAAATACAAAACAGTTATAGACTGAAACTTGTTTATGACAATTTAAAATGTTTAATGAAGACCTGAATTAGAAAGTTTTTGGTTATGTGAACGAACAATCATTTTATTTTTTCGTTAAAACAAACAAGAAAACATAAAACCTACTAAAAAAGAGGACTGATACATGCTTTTCCAACGGCTTTTGGTTTCTGGACAAT